TACATACATACATACATACATACATACATACATACATGCATGCATGCATGCATGCATACACACATACATAGATATACATGCATACATACATACAAACATACATGCATGCATGCACACAGTGTCCCCGCATTGCCGTAGGCGTTGAAAGGAATGTCCTCAAGTCCCTTCGAGCCCTCCGTGTTTTGTACCGTAAACACTCTTTGAGGGCCCAGGGCCTGGAGCCACGGGCGTTTCCTGGGCGCGGCCGCGCTCTTGGCAATGGCTGTGCGACTTGTCTGGAGGCCTTGCCTTAGGAGCGCGGGTGAGATGGATTGCAGTCGCCTGGGTCACCTAGCTTCGCGCACCGCGCCACGCGATGCGCCATCATCTGTCAGCCCTCGCGCCCGCGCGCCGCCCCCATTGGAGAAGGGCAACCGCTCGGGTCCAGACCGCGACGTGCGAAGCGCGATTATCTCCGCACCCCCGCGGGTGGCCTGGATGGCCCCATGGCCTGTGTTGGAACCCTCTTGGGTGCCTGTCGGGCAGTCTCGGGAGCTCTGGGGGCCACCCTACGAGGCCGAAGCCAATGATGTTAGAAGACGGCCATAAATGCTCCCAAACTCGCCCTGAGACAGCGTCCAAGCCCTAAGAAAGCCGAAGAAGGGGAACACGGACTGACAGTTGGAGCCCTGAGCCCCACGATGGCCCCCGAGACCGCCAGGAGGCCCCATATGAGGCCCCCACATGCCCAGCAAAAGTGCAATATCAGGCCGCCCACCTGGCTAACTTTTAGAACTGACGGCGATGGGCCAACCCCACTTGGAATAGAACCATTGCCAACCCCATCTGGTGCACCGATGGACTTGGCTGAAGGCCATTCGATATATACATACATACATACATACAAACAAACAAACATACATGCATGCATAGTTACATGCATGCATGCAGACATACATACGTACATACACGCATACATACAACAAGCATACATGCATTCATACATACATGCACACATACCTATACGACCACCCTGCGGGTGATAAGGAGGTTGTGGAGGGTGGGGGGAGGGGGGTGGCTCATGACGACAACTGTCATGATGAGCAACCGGCGGGACAATGATAATGATGAGCAACCATGATGAACAACCATGATGAGCAACCATGATGAGCAACCGGCGGGCAACCGACGGGACAACGTGGGCTACCGCTTGACAAGGCCAGGGGGGGGAAACATTTGTGTTGGCGGACCCCTAGCGACAGCAAGGTGAATTCCTCTCGCTGGCCCACGCAACTTCGCCTCGCCCGCACGCACGGCCCGAGCACGAACTCGAAACTCGATTTCCCGGAGGGGGGACTCCGTTACACTGCGATCTCACCCCCCAACCTCCGACATACATACACACCTACACACCTACACACTTAGACACAGACGTACATACATACATACATACCTACATACATACATACATACATACATACTTACATACATACATACATACGTACGTACGTACGTACATACATACATACATACCCACCTACCTACCGACCTACCTACATACATACATACATCTGTGCAAGCTGGGGAGACTCTTGAGGGCCAGAATTGTTTTGCATCCGCAACTCTGTGTGATGACTCGACCCGGAGCTCCGCGCGACATTGACTGGCTGGGCGAGGCACCTCGACCAAGGAAAACGAGTCCCGAGACAATCACGATCCAACGGACACTGCTCGAGCTGAAAAAGGGATGGGAGCGCAGCGTGGGTGGGAGGCTTGAGCACAGGTTGCCGCGGCCCCCTCCCGCTCACCACAGGCAGCAAAGAATCGATGGCACGCCATTGCAATCTGTGCAAGCTGGGGGCACTCTCGAGGGCCAGAATTGTTTTGCATCCGCAACTCTGTGTGATGACTCGACCCGGAGCTCCGCGCGACATTGACTGGCTGGGCGAGGCACCTCGACCAAGGAAAACGAGTCCCGAGACAATCACGATCCGAAATCTAAAAACTCGAGCAACTGCGAATTTTGAAACCCTGGCCTTAGGCCAACACAAACCTGTCCAGGCTAAGAAACGTGTGGTTTCGCAAAGCCTGTTGGAAACACTTAGCTACCAGCCTACACAAGTCTTTGGGATACGGTTCTGCAATGTGCGTCCAGAAAGTGCCTGAGGCGTCTTTGCCCTCGAGGACCTGATGGGGGCGGCGGCTGAAGCTGCAGACGCCACGACCCGAACATTTACAAGGAATGAGAGGGTCGAGGTTGAGATGGCAGTATAAGAGCCGAGTGCGCTTTCGCCACGCGGTCGAGAACGCACAAAAATCAAAGTCCACAATGCGAGTGTTACGAATTCGACTGAGATGGATTGCACCTGGGAGCTGCCACAACCAAGAGGTGCTAGGGTTCTCAATTACAACTGGCATGTTCAAACTGCGCGCGAGCAGGAAGAGAGAGAAGCTGAAAGTGGCAAGCGTGTTTCCTCTCTCAACCTTGAGCTGGTCTCCTGGCGACAGGCCTGGCAGCCCAAGCGGAAACTGTCTCGTCCGAAGGGGCGGTGGCCCGTTGGGTCGGTTGCGGGCGCGGCTCATAGAATGGCAAGGCGTCGCAATCCAGATCGCGACGATGAGCCGACTCCGCACCCAGCCCCGCACTAGCTGTCTGATTCGTTTTCGGAGGAGGTCACTGTCGGCGTCGTGGCGAATGTCCAGCTCAAAGGCGGCATGCTGCGACCGAAGACGCAGACGCCATGCCGCGGACATCCGCCCAGAGCCGCTGAAGACTTCCAAGAAGACGCCGGCCTTGGCGTGCCTCACCCACGAAGCCAGCTCGCCGACAGGGTGGCGCCAATCCCGCGGAACGCCTGCTCGGTTCGGAGCTGCAGGGCGCGCGGGAGGCGGTGCAGCTGCTCCTGCACGCGGCCGCCCTTGGCGTAGCGTCGAAGCGCGGCATCGGTGGCCCACCTGCCGCGCCTCTGGAGGTCGCGGAGGGGCCTCGCCGCCGCGTACAGCTCGTGGCTCGCGCCGCCGTGCCGCAGCTGGTGCAGCGTCAAGTTGCCCAGGACCTGCAGGCCGAGGTCGGAGACGACAGCCTTGAAGTGGTAGTTCCACTGCGCGTAGGTCACTGGGAACAGGCGGTGGCCTGCGGGCGCGCGGCGGTGCAGCTCTTGAATGACGCTCGGCATCCACGGGAAGCAGGTCGAGCGCACGAAGGCGAGGGCCGCCATCAGCTTCCAGGCGTCGCTGCTCTCGCCCCCGTCCAAGAACTCCTCGTGGAAGAATAGCACCAGCGCCTTGTCCACCTCCGCCGGCGTCACCAACGAGTGGCCCCGCTGGCAGGCCCACAGGCTGAAGGCGGCATGCCGGCGCTCGTAGTCCGCCCTGGTCGCATCCCCCACTGACTGCCCCTCCAGGAAAGTCAAGCCCCGGCGGGGGGCCGAGGGCGGGAGCGCAGGGAAGCGGCTCGCCCTCTCCTGCCGGCGAACGGCCCGGCGGTCGCTCTCGGCTGGGCGCGCCGCAGCCTCTGACGCCGCGCGCGGCCTGCGCCGCGACTGGCTGGCAGCCGCAGCCGCCGCAGCAGCCGCTGGCCGCTTGCGAGACCGCGGCGCCGGCGAAGCTGGCGTCGCCGTGCAGCCGAGGGCCGACATCGACAGCGGCGCCGCCATCGCGTCCGAAAGCTGCTGCCTGGGCGAGCGTACAGGGCGCGGCAGGCCCCGATGCCTTGGCCCGCACGGCTTCGGGGATATCACCAGCCTGGGCACGAGAAGCAGGGTCAGCGCTGTTGTGCTCGGATGGGACCCAACGCCAGACTGCAGAGGACCCCGAGGCTAACAGGAGGGCGCAGGCCTGACGACAGATCCTCAGAAGCGGAGGCGACGATGACCTGCCTTTGAGCAACGCCAATACTGGGGCCATGGAGTCATTCAAGATGATGTGCGTGGTGTTGAAATTTCGGGCGGCTCGCAATCGATGCTTCAGGCATAAGACTAGCGCTCTCCCCTCCAATGCCACCTGTGCCTCCCTCCTGGTCCATGGTGTAGACAAAACCCGACGCCATCCTTCCGCCCAGACCTCCTCTGGCACCTCCTCGAACGTGACCTCCACCTCCCGATTAAGCTTCGGCTCGACTCGGAAAGGGACTTGCTGCTCCATGGCTGCTGCTATGACTGCTGGATCTCGATCGTGCTGCGACGAGGCTTGCCTAATGCATGACGTGGTGATATGCTCAGCTTGCTTGCTCTCCCGGGCCAAGGCCATGTCCCGCGGGGCGACCTGCTGCTCCCCATCGCGACTGAATCTCCATCGCTCGTTGAAGATAGACAGACGACGAGCTTGATCCGAGGTGATGGTCTTCTCAGTCACCCCTGCACCCCACCACGATGCGTCTACGCAAGACACGACTGGCGAAAGCGGCCGCCCGGCGTCTCGAAAGCGCAGGGGCAGCAACGCGCGGCGCCAGGTAAGCTCCCGCTTCACTGCCGGAGTCAGCCGCCGCCTCTCGCGGCCGCCATCCCCCATGAAACCGTGCACGGCCCCCGGGCAGCTCAGCAGCTCGCGGCGAATTAGCGCCCTCGACGTTAAGTGGGACATCACCTTCATCATGGCGTGGCCACTGCACCAGCCACGCTCTAGCAGCTCGCCGATACCAAGGCGAAGCCGCCAGCGCAGTCGGACGCTGAGACCGATCACGGGCTTGTCCTCGTCGAAGTGCCAGCCCAGCGCGTCGCCGCCGACTGATGCCTCCACTGGGTGAGTGGGGAGGTCTGAAGCCGTCAGCTCCTTCTGCACTGCAGCAGCTGCATCGTGTACCTCGCGCAGCCTGTGGGAAAGGGCGATGAGGTTGTCAACGTAGACCGTGTGCGCCATACCTTGCTGCAGGTCAGGCGCGGGCCGACGGTCCACGAGACGACGGCCAAAATGGCCAGGAAGAGCACGAACAGTCACAGCCTCGTTCAAGCTCTGGCAGATCCAAAGGCTGATGCTCCAGCCCATCGGCGGGCATCTGAAGCACGGCGCGACCCATGACGATGGCCGCACCGGCAACCCGTCGGACAGGTGAGAAAGTCCGAGGTCGCCAGCCCGCAGCCTGGGCAAGCCAAAATAGCGGCGCAGCCGCGACGGAAGCTCGATCTGGTAGAAAGCGTCGCAGATGTCGACGCCCCCGATGCTGATGGGCTCGTCGCCGTCGACCGAGATCTGAGCGAATGCTGAGCCCGTCGCTAGCTCCACGGGGTCTGCAGGCGCGAACCTGAGGGACGCGTGCCGCCCATCGAGGATCATCCGCAGCGACCCGTTCTTCTTGCGTACGAAAAACATGCCAACGTAACACTCCGCCGAGCTGTTGAAGTCAACCAGCCCGGCGTTCATAAGCCGCCGCACCACCGTCGCGTAGAGGCGCGGGTTGCGAAGGGCAGGGTCCGTGTAGAGTCGCCTCGGACCTGCCTCTCTGATGCGCTCCATCCCCAGCTGTCGGGGCAGGAGTAACTCTTTCAACCGATGAGCGATATTCTGGCCTGCCATCTCGTCGATCGTCTCCAGGGCGGCGGGTCGGCTACCAGCAGGAGGCAGTGAGATGGAGTCGACGAGGTCGAAGCTCACCGGGGCAACCAACGTGGCGTCACCCTCGTATGGTTGAGATATCCGGAGCTCCTCAAGGGCTCCTGGACCGCCCAAGCCCTCTGGGCACGGGCCAAACCTCACCGCGGCCTGGCGGAGCTCCGAGAGGACGAGGGCGTGGCCAGCTGCAGGCGCCGGCGTGCCGGCGGGCGCTTGACGGCGCGCCGCAGGCGGGCAGCCCCAAAACTCGTTCAGCGCGTCGGTCATCTCGTCGACCATGCCGTGAACGTGGGGCCGTTTCTCAAGGCGCCTGCGCACTGACCTCGACTGCGGGGTAGGTGTAGTAGGAGACAGGGCCCCAGCGCCAAAGTAGGGCAAAGGAAAGAGATCACGCTGGCGAAGATCGGCGCTGGCGTGGGAAGCCTCATGTACAGGTAGATCTGCTGCACCCGCGAGGCCCACGGGCGCCCCCCCTCTCTCGGCCTGGCAGGCTCCTGGGCGAGGGGCGCCCAGAAGCCGTCCGCGTTGCTCATGATGACAGAGCGCGACGCTCTTCACAGGCCTTCCTGATCTGCTTCAGGATCCCTGCGTCGCGCTCCACCTGTTTGGAGACATGCTCCAGTAGTAGCGGGCAAATCATGGAGCGGCCGTCCTCCTTGGCCGCCCCTGTGAACACCGCCGCTTCGTCCACGATGCCGAATCGGTGGAGCCCTCCTCCACGCCCTCGGCCCCTCTTCTTGCCGTCTCCGTCGTTGCCGTCCTTGGAGCCCTTCGACTGTTGAGCCTCGAACTCCATGGAGTAGATGTACTCGTAGAGCTGCGCCTGTCGAATGGCCAGCTCCGCCCCGACCAAGTCGGGGAGGTTCACCTGATCCCAGCACGCGAGGTGCTCCATCATCTTCATGATGTTCTCGTAGTGGGCGACCCCGTAGTCCTCCTTCGTGAGGTGGTAGAAGGCCACGAAGCTATTGTAGTGCTCCGCTGGGCCGCCCCGCTTCCTGTCGATGAACTGTGCGCACCAGAGCATGGTGCGAGGACCGTCGAGCAGCCACCCAGGGATGACGTTCTCCACCATCATCGGCACCGCCTCACGCCACGCCAGACGCTGCCTGGAGCCGTCAGGCCGAGGTGGCACGCCCAGCAGCCTGATGTCCGCCCCGCTCTCGGCGCACCGATACACCGATGGGTCCATCGAGATCCGACGGATGGCGACCCAGCCCGCGTTCAGCTGGAGGAGCCCGATGTCACCCTCGATCCGCTCGGTCCCGTTGAGCTGCACTACATCGCCACGATTGCCTCCTCCGGTACTCCCGATGAGCACCCAAGCCGGGGCAGGCACCACAGGCGGTCCAGCCGCTCCTGCTGCAGCCGGCGGCGCAACGCCAGCGGCGCCCGCTGGGGCGCCTGCTACAGGCGCGGCTGCGCCCGCCGCGAGGCGCTGCAGGGGCGGCGGCGGCGCCGGCGGCGGCCGCGATCGCCAAGGGCGCCGCAGGCGCCGCGCCGGCGGCGGCTCCACCCGCGGGCACGAGAGCGGCAGGGCCTGCGCCAGGGACGCCTGGTCCCGGGGCTGCGGCAGTGAAGTCGAACTCCAGGTAGGAGCCGCCCGCAGGGAGCACGCGCGGTCGGCCAGCGGCGCGCTCTCGATCCAAGTACAGCTGGTCCGCTACCTGAACGAGAGCGTCCTGGATGGCGACCGTCTCGCGCCCGTTCGGCTCCCGCCTGAAACGGTAGAGCAAGTTCGGGTCCACACCCTGAAGCGCCTGGCGAGTCGGGCTGAAGACCACGGCGACGATATCTGGATTGCCCTGGCTGTACCGCTCCTCGTACACGTCGTGGTCAGCACTAGAGATCAGGAGGTCCAGCGGGTCACTGCTCCCCGCTGCTGGATCCGCCAATCTGCCCCAGACCCTCCGCTGATGCCAGAGCCGCTCTCCTCGATACAGCACCCATGCCCAGCGCAGGACGCCGTGCGGTGGCGGCACTGTGGCGGCCATGGCGGCGGCACACGAGGCCCTTCACGAGACCGATGACGCCGCGCCAGAGCTGGAGCGCGGCCAGCACCACGTGGCCCAGCAGCAGCGCCGCCCAGCTCCAGAACGAGCTCGATGGCGGCTCCGCCGGCGCTGGCACCGGCTCGGGAGCCGATGGCGCCGCGGGCGCCGCCGGCGACGGGGGCGGCGCAGGGGGCGCCGCCGGGCAAGTCAGCTGCTCCTCCGCCGCGCGGCAGTGGACCTCCCCGCACGAGAGGTTCGGGCAAGACACCGACGGGCACGCCGGCGAGGCTGGGCACGAGGGGGCCGTGGGACACGGCGGCGCACGCGAGATCCAGGCCGCCAGCAGGTTGGTAGCGGCGCCCAGGAGCCACACGAACGGCTTGCCAACCATCCGCGCCTCTGCCTGGACAGGTGCCCCCAGCTCGCTGGATGAAAGGCTTGAGCACAGGTGGCCGCGGCCCCCTCCCGCTCACCACAGGCAGCAAAGAATCTATGGCACGCCATTGCAATACATGCATACATATGCATACACATATACATATACATATACATCTAGGCGTATACATATAAATATGTATGTACATAGATGTGTATATGTATAAGTATATACACACACCACAAACATCGCGCGCGTTTCGCGCGCGCTTAGGTTCTAGCTGGTCGAGTGCTGAACGCACTGAGACGACAAAGTGGTCATGACGAATAAGGTCATGATCTGTTTCCTCTTGTCTCTTCCTCATTCCTCCTCCTCCACTATCATCGAAGGGTCGACCCGTGATCTGTCGCCAAACTACGGGCCAGGGAAAATGCAGCGCTACAGCGCCGTGTTGCACTATGCTATGTAATACCATGGTGCACCATGCTAGGCTATAAAGCGCAATGTCACAAAGCAGCATGCACTGTAGTAACTTGATATACTCGACAGTGCGCATTGCATGCCATGCCATGCTGTGCTGCGAAATGCAATGCTAACATATGGGATGATACGCTCAGCCATATCATGCTATGTTTCCAATGGAGAGCGATGCTACTGCGTTGCGCGGTATTCACAGGCGCGGCATGCCAGGCTATGAAATGCAGCGCAATTCTATGCCATGTTATGAGCTGCTAGGCCAAAATAAACAGGACGACATTCAGAACACCAACGGAGTGTGATAATGACATGATGTCTGTTTACTGCTGCGCAGAGCAGTACGGTGCTGTTCGATTAACTTGTGCGCATGGGACTGCCATAATACGCCACGGTGTCGTAAGATGCAATGCCATGCTAGGCAATGTTACGTCATGACGTGCAGTGCTAGGCTCAGCTAGACGCTGCTATGGAACGGAATGCTATGACATGCTGAACCATACCGTGATATGCACTGACACGGTTAGCTCTGTCGTGATGTGCCGTGCCATGCCATGTCATGCAACAGAGCGATGCCACGATAGGCTAGGCGGTCCTTTGCTACGCACCAGTATCTTTCAAGGTTCATTATTATGATTATGTTTGCATAGCATCGTGCTCCATGGGAGCGCAGATCTGTTCCTGCAGCAATGTGCTACCACTTACTGGGTTCGCGCAATTAACACCTCACCCTCGAGGATTATTGCGGCGAGGCCACGCCGTCAGAACATGCTGTCGGCAGCTCGCCAGCACCATGCGAGCCGTCGAAACCACATGCTGAATTCATAAGTGCTGTCGCCACCGCATAGCTGCGGCTTTATCACGACCATTGCAATTGGACAATCGCGTGGCTGGGGCAATATCTTTACGAAGCAAACGAGCATGCAAAATGAGAAGCAATAGACAATCTTCCCTTTGAGAACAATTCGTCATCCTGAATAATTCGTTGACGGATCTGGGGCCCTGGGAGGCCACTGGAAGCCAGCAGCGGCAAGCAACTTCAAGACTCGTTTCCCTGAGGAACCGCCTGCTTCATGGCGAGAGACTGGGTTGTGGGTTAGAGGCCTCTTGGAAGTTCGTTTCGACTTCGTGGGAGGCTTCCTGGGGCCTCTCGAAGGCACTTTTGGAGGCCTCTTGGGGGCCTCGTGTGGCCTCCAGGGGGCCTCTTGGGCTCTGTTGGGGGCCTCCTGGGGGCCTCTTGGGGCGGAAGGCTCGAATTGTCGGTTCGTGTTCGTGGCCCCTCTTGGGGCCCTCTTGGGCGCCTCTTGGGCCGTCTTGGGGCACTCTTGGGCCGTCTTGGGACTCTCTTGCGCCGTCGTGGCGCCCTCTTTGGGTACCTCTTGGGCCTTGAGCTGATTTCTGGGGCCTCGTGGGCTCTCTTGGACCGTCGGAAACACGAAACAGCGAGAACACGAACAACCTTCAAAAACCATCGAATAAAACCTGCGTTGTTCGCCTCCTGAGTGCCTCGTGGGAAACCTTTTGAGGGCATCTTGGCCGTCTTGAAGCCCTCTTGGGCTGTCTTCAAGCCATGTTGGACACATTTCGAAACGCTCTTTGTGCGGTCTTGGACTCTCTTGGAGCGCTCTTG